AAACCCTAAACCCTAACCCCTTCTTGAAACAGAAACGAAGAGCTCTCTGGAGCCTCTTCGCAGAGCCTGAGGACAAAGCCATCGAAGCTTGCGATGCTCAAGGCAGGTCCGGGGCCGTAGCAATGTTGGCTTCTGCATAGAGGATAGGGCCAGGAACGGCTAAACCCTAAACCCTCAACCGTTCCGAAAAGCCAGCATTTTGACTGCTTTCATGAGTCCAGGTTTCAACCTCCAGATGTCGAATGGTGTGAATGCTCCCGGTGGCATTGGCTCTTCCAAGAGACTTCCTCGAGCAAGCTCGAACTGTTCCTTGTTGCTCCACTCAGACTCAGGTTTCATTTATTCCTGGTGGCTTTTTGGACGCAGTGGCCTTTGAGTACGGCAAGGACATCCCCCCGTAGTTTCGTCTATCAGTACTACTACTACTACTACTNNCTACTACTATCACTACTACTACTATCACTACTACTACTACTACTACTACTACTACTACCACCACTAATTACTACTGCTGCTCTAGTTCTATGACTACTACTACTACTACTACTACTACTACTACTGCCACTAATTACTACTGCTGCTCTAGTTCTATGACTACTACTACTACTACTACTACTACTACTACTATTTCTACTACTCCTACTACCGCTGCTGCTCTATTAGTAATGACTAGAGGAAGTGTGGTAGCTTGCCAGGATGTCTGTGTCCTTCGCAACCGGAAGGGCTTCATTAAGTACTGCCTCCGGAGCCTCGGCCTGTGCTTGGAGGTGGTCGTAACTAGTATTGTGCTCTGATAATATCATAGGGGTTTGGGGTTTAGGGTTTAGGGTTTAGGATTTAGGGTTTAGGGGTTTAGGGTTTAGGGTAGATAGTCTATAAGAAGGTTGTGATCTGTGGGAAGATGGTCCAAGGTATGGATATCGTGCTCATCCTGTCTACACTTTTGGAGAGTGTGAGACGCGTCTCGGCGATGGTGCACAGTAGGTGTAGCAACCTTCATGGCCATAGAATCAGAAGGCAGCTTGTCTGAAACTCCGAATGCTAGATGGCCGCCCGGTCGCCGAGGTATTACACATTCCGAGGCATGAAGAAAATGCGCATGAATATTGCGCGGCACTTACTGAATGGTTCAGCCTGTCAAGGCGTACTTCCGCTGCGAAAAATGCCCAGGATGGAGGGGTGCATGTAGTGTGATGCTGCAGCTCCTGCGATCATCAATCCGACAACACTAGATCCGGAAGTGTACGATCGAGTTTTCAGGTTTGGATGTTCACGGTATTGAGTGCTGAATGTCGTTTTAAACTCTTTTCTTAACATGCTGGCTGCGAATTTCTGGGCACTCTTGAGTCTGGAGAAGCTGTAAGGACGGTCCAACTCTAAGTCTCTCCTTGTACGTCTACTCTACGTGCAGTTACCTGCATGTAGCTGCCGGCGCGAGGTATGAAATCTACGGACAATGTTGACCACACTGACAGCACGGGATCTCGATAGTACAATATAGTATAGTTATATATAGTTATAACGGGATAAAATATAGTACAGTTTAAACAATGCAGCAGCAGGCCCTAAACCCGTCTGAGGCGAAAAATAATGTGCCGGCCGTGGCATTCTTCGGCTGGTCTCTTCTGCCATTTTTGCCCCGGCCGCAGTCTAGGCTGCTTACTTACGCTTCTTGACGGCATATAAGGTAGACCGGTAGACCCTGCGATTGCAGAATCGTTATGAGACTCACATTTTATGTACTTATGAAATAGTAAATAGTATATTATAGCACAGAGAATAGATTACACCATATTAATATTATACAGTATTATAACAACATTATAGTTTGTTTTCCTATATTAGCATGAATTATATTATACACTATTATACAGTTTACACTACATTATACTATATTATACTATATTGTACTATGTTATACTACCTTATACTATATCATACTATGTTATAAAATCTTCTACTATATCATACTACACTATAAGGCACTATACGATCTTGTACGATATTAGACGATGTTTGTTAAATGGTACTAGACTATACTATACCATACCATACCATACCATACCATACCATACCATACCATACCATACTATATTCTACTATACTATATCATACTATACTATACTACTCTGTCCTATCATACTAAATTTATGGTATCATATCAGATTCTACTATATTTTGTTACATTATATCATCCCGAGTCTTGGAGCATCCAGGTGGGAAAAGGAATCGACATGCCGCAGATCCCAGAACCCTCGAACGAGGACGTGGACCACTGGCATAAGGCCTGGCCTAGGGTTTTTAAGGCTTTGGGTTTAGGCCTGGCTCATCTTGGTGTCGCGCGACTTGCTAAAGGTGTAGGTTGTTTGTGAGCTTTGATGCTCAGCTTCCAAGACCAAGGCGACTTCCGGCATTCCTTTTGCATCTCGTGAGGTGTACATGGAAGGCTTGCAGAAGCTCTTCGACGAGAACAAGGCAGCCCTGCTAGCAGTGTCGTGCATGCAGACTTGTTGCAAAGGTGTGTTGTGTTACCAAGCCTGGGGAGCGTGCCTGCAGGCAGACGCTGGCTATCCTGACAGGCAACTGAAGATTTTGTAAAGCTTGGCTTTCGAATTGCAGTATGATTGTCTGCATGTGCATCTCCTCCCTAGCCAGAGATGTAGACGGTCATGGGGCCGATGTTTGGAAGCTGCGATCGAACGCGAAGCTCGACCACCGGTGCATTTTCCAACAGAACTCCCTTGCTGCCCAGTCTGATGCAAAGCGTCAGCTCTCGGCGGCAGACACCAATCGCCGATGCAGTGATGCTCGGTGTTTTCCACTGACTCTGCGCCTGAGCACGACCGAAGTCCCTTTGAAACGAAGACTGGAAGACTTGATGCTTGGGCTGACACCCTCCGTGCGAGCAAACCTGTCGCTTGTCTGGTGTTCCAACATTCGCCATGATTTCTCAGCCTGCAGGC